GGCAGCGGAGGGCCCCGCGGGCGGGGAGGCGCGTAGCCCACGGTCCCTGACGGCCCCGGCGGCCAGGCGCACTCCTGCACCTCCTGGGGGGCCGTAGCCAGGCAACGCCCGGCGCGCCCGCCCATCCCCCGCTGCCCTTTTCTCCCTGGTTGGGTGCAAGGGAGCATGCCAGCGTCTGGCCTCGGCCAACGAAGAGTTAAGCCGAGGGGCGTGGAACTGCCCTCCCCTTGGGGGCGTGCCCCCCTCCCCCGCTAGGCGGCTCGGCCCCCCGCGGTAGAGTATGGCCCCCGGCCCCGGCCCGGGACCCGAGGTCCCACGCACTGGCCAGTGAAAGACGCCATCCCCTTCCCGCCCGCCTCTTTCCCTCTCCGGCCAGCACCATGGGATGTAATATGTGCGTGGTCCAGAAACCGGAGGAGCAATACAAGGTGATGCTTCAGGTAGGGCGCCTGGACCGCTAGGTAGAAGGGCGCAGCCCGGCTGAGGGAAGCTGCAAACCTCGTGGGGAGGGCCAGGTGGAGTCCGAGAGGCAGGTGTGGGAGGGGGAAGAGGAAAAGGTAGGGAACCAATCTCACCCTAAGATTCTGGGTTGCTGGGTGTTGGTGCTCCGTGGGAACTGGCCCCAGATGGGGGAGCAGGATGGTGATGGGGATGCGAAGCGCATCACTTGGACGCCCGGAGTACGTACGGGGACGAAGCCTGTGTCCAGATCAGGTCGGAATGGGGAAGTTGGGATTGACCCGAGTGGGACAGTTCTCAGTCCCGGGATCCAGAGCCGGGAGGCGCTATATGCCCCGCGCGGGCTGGAGGTTGCATAGCAACGAGCTCGGTCCCTGGCACACGCTCCCTGGGCTGAACCCAGACCCAAAGAAGCAGTTGAGTGCTGGTGATGCTGAAGGCGGCCAGATCCCGGTCCCCGCAGGCCAGCCCTAATGCGCCGTCAACGACCGGGCTGGGGTCGGTTGGGTGCCCATTCTTGCACCCATTCCCTGGTCTGACCCAGCCGCGACAGTGGGCTCCCGGGCCTCGGTCGTCTTGGGTGAGTAGGTGCCACTGGTGGCGGCGGTTCCCGGCCGGTGCTCTGCCTGTTGGCACGCGCTGTGGCCTGCTGGGCCTGGGGGGACTTGGAGGGCGTTGCGAGCAACGCGTGCTGGGTGGGAAGAGACACCTCGTCGCACGCTCGCACCTTGAGCCCAGCCCTTCAGACACGAGCGGGGTTTCCTTGTCTGTGCGTGGCGTGACTACGTGAGTGCGTGCCTGTGCCCCGTCTGTGTGTGCGCGGAGGCTCCCCAGCCCCGCGTGTGTACTTTCTATGTGCAGCCTGCGACTTGTCTAGAGAAATGTGTCTCTGATGATGTGAACTGAGACCCACTAGGGCTAAGCGTAGAGAGATCAAGGTCAAAGGGAGTTAGGGCCAGGAGCAGATGTGGATGCAAACAGGTGTGTGTTCAGTGGCTCCTGCTCTAGCTCCTCCTGAGTTTGTTGATCAGGACCAGGGAACAAGTGCATGCAAGAGAGGTGTTGGCTAGAGGGAAACCTGTGGACTTCCGGGCATATGGGGAAAACTGCGGGAACGGCTCTTGGACGAGCCGGGAAGCAGGAGTGAATCACAGTAGTGAGGTTTTGAAGTGGTTCTGGGAACCCAGCGTTCTTACTTTTAGTTTATCTGACTAGCAAGAACAGGAGGCAAGGGACAGAGAGGGTGGGAGTGGCGGGCTAGGTGTGGGAGTTCTTGGGCACATCCCTTCTCTACTTGGGTCTCATCTCCAGATCTCTGCCCTCTGGATTCTTCCCTCTGGCCAACCCGCTCCACTGCTGCTGTTTCTCCTCTCTGGTTTGGGTGTTTAGACCCCTTACCTGGCTGGCTGTTGCCACTCCTAATGATGTAAGGGTCTTGAATGACCCAGTGTGAGACTGACTAAAGGGATTCATTAGAACCTATTGGATTTCAGAACTGGGGCAGAACATGGGGTTGGGCTGGTCGTTGATAGGACTACAGAACCCATTCTTACTGCTTCCTTTCTATCAATGGCCCACAGTTCCAAGCTGGTCTCTTGACTTTCTTAGAGAAGGTGCTGGTGTAGTGCTTAGTAATAAAGCTGGCCTCAACAGGACAGGAGGAAAGGGGAGGATAACTTGAGTCACATGGTAGGCCTGAAAGAACCATGGGTGGGAAGTGACACTGGTGACCCTTGGCAATCCTGGACATGCCATATGTCCAGTGGAGCTGCCTACAGTGAGGTTCTAATGGTGCGGTGGGGGGGGAGGAGCCGAGGGATCCCTGGGTGTGAGAATTCCTATCAGATCCTTTGCTTAAAAGAGAGCCCCACTTCTCATAGAGAGCCTTACTTCCCACAGAAAGGATTTTGTCCTGGGCCAGGAGCTGGGGCCACTGTAGTGCAGCCACCATCCTGTGCTCAATACCCAGGGGATGCTGGTCCTTAAAAGCTTGTTTAAAGTTTGGATACAAACTTTCACGTTCTCCTTTCTTGGCACAGTCAGAGATGAGATGGTTTTTAAAAGCAGAGTCCACCAGGCTGCACACATCTTTGATCCCAGGGAGGCAGAAGCAGATGGATCTATGTGAGTTCGAGGCCAGCCTGGTCTACATAGCGAGTTCCAGGCCAGCTGGGGCTACAGGGAGACTCTGTCTCAAAAAGACAAATAAATAAACAAACAAATAAATAAATAAATAAATAAATAAATGCAGAGCTAACCTTTCAAATTAAGAGAAAAGAAAGGAAATGAATGAAAAACATGTATATGGAAAACGGTGAAAGGTATTAGCCAGCCCAGGTGACAGAACTTCTGAGAGGGACTGCCCAGCAGACTCAGGGAGTTTCTATCAGGCTAGATTGTATTTCTACCAGAGTAGAAGGACACTTTTGTCTTGAAAATGCTGGAAGCTTCCAGGACCCCTTGCCTGACTCCCAGGATCCTTAAACACACATGCTCCCCCAGACTGAGTGCCCGTCTCCCTGCTGTTCCTAAAGTGCCCACTCATGGCCTCTGTAGCTTGCCAGTAGGGACCCTTTCTCACAATGACGCACAAGAACTTAAAAGAAATTACAGCTTTATTGACATAAAATTCATCTACCATGCAATGTATGTTTTCAAAGTGAACAATTCAGTGCTTTTGGCTCTTACGGATAGTGCTGCTGTGAATACTAATGTAGAAGTACTCTACACCTGCTTTCAATTCTTTTGAATAATAACCCCAAAATAGAATTGCTGGATCATATGTTAATTTTAAGTCACCTTTTCACAGTAGTAGTACCATTTTACATTAACAGTAGCAATATACAAGGGTTCCAGTTTCTCCACATGCTTGCCAACACTTGCTATTTTCTGGTTACCTCTCATAGCTATCTTATGAGGTGTGAAATGGCATCTTTTTGTTCAGATGTGGTGCTGGGGATGGAAGCCAGGGACTTGCACATGCCAGGGAAGAGCTCTATTACGGAGGAGCCACACTCCCTATCCCACGTTGTGAATTTGACTTGCATAACCGGTTGGCTAAACACTGGGACATCTTTTCTTGTGCTTATTGTCCATTTGCCTATCCACCTTGCAGAAGTATCTGACTCTATGATACTATGATGCTCTGACTGCTCCTAACTTTGCATTTGTTTTTCAAGATTGTTTTCACTCTGCTGGGTCCCTTGTTTCCGTTTGAATTTTGAGACCATCTTGTTCTCTCAGAAAATAAACCAACTGGAATTTTGATGGGGATGACCTTGAATTTGTAGATCAAATTGGAGGGTATTGCTCATTTGTTTGTGTCTTTATTTCAATGATATCTTGTGCTTCAGTATTTCATTTATTTGTTTGTGGGTTTTGTTATTGTTTGAGACAGGGTTTCACCATATAACCCTAGCTGGCCTGGAACTCTCTGCGTAGACCAGGCTGTCCTTGAATTTATAGAACTCTACCTGCCTCTACCTCTGCCTCTTGAGTGCTGGGATTAAAGGTGTGCACTACCATGCCAGACTTTTCTTTTTCTTTTCTTTTTCTAAAAACAGGTCTCCCTGTAGCTACAGCTGGCCTGGAACTCTTTGTAGACCAGACAGGCCTTGATTTCACAGAGATCTACCAGCCTCTGCCTCCTGAGTGTTGGGGTTTAAGGTATGTGCCACCATACCCAGCCCAGCTGATTTTCTTTTTAAATTTTTAAAATTTACTTTATTTTCAGGTGTGTGTGTGTGTGTGTGTGTGTGTGTGTGTGTGTGTATGGTGTGTGCAGGTGTCCACAGAGGCTAGAGGCATCCTTGAGCTGGAGTTCCAGGCAGTTGTGAGTTATCTGATGTGGGTGCTAGGAGCTGAACTCCAGACCTCTGGAAGAGCAATACACATTCTAAACTGCTGAGCCATCTTTCCAGCCCTGCATCTTATTCTTTTCGATGCTGTTGTAAATGGAATTTCTTTTTGAGGCACTGTAGCCCGGGCTAGCTTGGAAATCACTGTGTGGCCCAGGCTGGCCTTGAACTGATGACAATCCTCCTGCCTCAGCTTCTCAAGTCTAGGAGTCACCATGTTAGACTTGGAATTGTTTTCTCTTTTCTTTCTTTCTTTCTTTCTTTCTTTCTTTCTTTCTTTCTTTCTTTCTTCTTTCTTTCTTTCTTTTGTGTGTGTGTGTAGCCTACTAAGCTCACTGTGTGTGTGTTTTGCTTTGGTCTTTTTGAGACAGGGTCTCCCTGTAGCCCCAGCTGTCCTGGAATTCACTATGTAGACCAGGCTGGCCTTGAACTCACAGAGATCCACCTGTGTCTGCCTCCCCAGTGTTGGGATTAAAGGCGTGCGCCACCGTGCCTAGTTGGAATTGTTTTCTAAGTTTCACTTTTTTGTTTTCTCATTGTCAATGTATAGAAATACATTTAAGTGCTGGAGATGGATCCTGCAGCCTTGCACTAGCTAGGACAAGCACTCTACTACTCAACTAACCACCCCAGTCTCTATTACTAATTTTCACACACTGATCTTGTATTGTGCAATCTCAACTCATTTATTCTTGTCACTTTGTAGATTTTTCTATGTACTATGAATATGTTGTTGGCACATAGAAATAATTTTACTTATTTCCAATCTGTGTGCATTTTTTACCAATCTCCTGCGGCTAGAACCTCCACTACAGAGTTGAGTAAATATAGTGAGTGCAGGCATCCTTGTCTGAGAGGGAAAAGTGTGCACTTCTCTACCAGTTAGAACGGTAGCTGTGTGCTTTTTGTTTGCTTTTTCTTTTCTTTCCCTCCTCTTCTCTTCTCTTCTCTTCTCTTCTCTTCTCTTCTCTTCTCTTCTCTTCTCTTCTCTTCTCTTCTCTTCTCTTCTCTTCTCTTCTCTCCTGTCCTCTCCCCTCCCCTCCCCTCTCATCTTGTCTGTCTTGTTTCTGAGACTGGGTCTCCCTGACCCAGCTGGCCTGAAACTCACTGTGTAGGCAGACTGG